TCTGGCCACTCGAACGCCGCACCGCCTTCTGGACCCCTACGGGGCGACCTCTTCTGAGGTCAACTTCGCAACCCAACCAAACTGTGGATGCCCGACATGGGTACACTCGACCAGGATAGTAAGGATGCGCGGTAAGGATGCAAGGGCCTTGGAACGCCATGTTGACGTTTCCCGTGCGGAGCGCAGCAGACTGCCGAAGGATGCCGAATACCGAAGTGGCAAGGATGCAAGGGAAACCTTGGAAAGTTGCCCTATCCTTACTATCATGGTTGACTGTACCGAAAACTGGGCACGATGTCCAGCAACAAATCCCAAACCGACAGCGACCGCTGCTGGGCAGGCGGCCCTCTGTCTGAAATGGACAACGTCCGCGTCGACACCGACAACGAGTCCTGTTCAGAATGAACAACAACTGCTGTAGGTCCTCGTGTCCATTCTGTCCGTGCCCACATCGGTCCCTCAGACGAACGATGGTCCCCTCTCGCCGCACCCCGCCACGCTGCCCCAAAAACCACCCGGCCCCCCGCTGTCAGGCCTGCCGTGGGCGCCCGCGCCGGCGAACCAGGTGGGGGGCACCCCTGCGCGGCAGAGGGGGCAGGTCCTGGGCTGCGGGAGGCGTTGAGGCAGGTTTGCTTGCAGGGAGGGGGGGGGGGGAAAGGAATGGAAGAGGAGGAGGAGGAGGAGCAGGAGGAGGAGGAGGAGGAGGAGAAGGAGGGCAGGAGGGGATGGAGCAGAAACAGGATGGGGGTTCTGAGGTGGAGGAGGAAATTCGAGGATATCCATGGTTTCTTCCATTCCCTCCTCTTCCCCGCACTCCTCCATTCCCTGCATTGGGGTGAGGCGCGTGGCGAGGTCCGAAAGTGAATCTGCACTTCGCACAAGTCGGGACTCACTAGCACGCCTTTCCGGCCCAGCGCTGTTCGAAAACGCGGCGGGGGGAGGAAACGCCCAAACGCCATGCAAGCAAGCTTACCAATACCTACATCGAATACGCGCTGGGGGGGAGGCTTCAGGTTCGAGGCTTCCGCATGCATGTTACCCACCTCCCCTCCCATATGTTGTTGCACTGCGCAAGACCACGAGGACGAGAACGATTTGCAAGCGGCACCTCGCCGCGCAGACTGCCACCGGTGCCCCAGCGGGGGCAGGCGGACAACGAGTATGGGAGGGTGGCACAAGCGGTCCCGCCTGGTCTGAAATTGCTGCAGAGGCAGAAGGCAGGGAGAGAAGCGGAGGGCCAGAAGACACAGCGCATGCATGGGGCAAGCAGTGCTACCTTTGCTTCACTTTCGTGAATCAGCGTTCTCGTCTGAGTATCGTTTAACCGATCCCCATCCCCAGCGACGTGGCCTGGGCCCCACTGGCCGATTTACCCCCCTAGATGGGGATATAGGCCGTTCCCTTCGGGATTCGAGGGGTGTATCCTCAACTGGGGCGGTAATTTGGTGGGGGTCTCGAAAGGGATGTGGATGGGGATGGGGACCGGATAAACGATACTGATCGTCGATTCTCCGCGGTTCTCCGTCCTCGTCGGGATGCCCTCCAGGAGCTGCGCCTCGCCGAGAGCGCTCTGGGGGTGCCCGAACCGCCCCGGACGGCCGCCGGAGAGCCGAGAACCAGGGGGGCTCCGACAGAGGGACGACAGTAGAAGAGCGAGAGCTGTGCCCAAACACCGATCCTGAGCAGGCCCATCCTGAGCCCAGGATCGATGCTCACGCCCTCCTGGCTCGGGCCAGGGAGGCTCGTGCACTGAACCCTGTGCACAGGCTGGGCCTGGACAGGATCGGTGTTTGTGCACAGCTCTTCGCCCGAGACCAAGCGACTGCGACGCTGTGCACGCGGGCTCGTCTACATCACACGGGCATGTCCAGATGCGGTGGCAGCTCGGCGGAGGGGGCCTGGACCCCCAGCGTGCTAACACGGCGGCACGCTGCTCTTCGCAATGCTCGGCTTCTGGGAGCCATCGCGGGGCCCCGGGACCGTCACGAAACGGCTCAGGATGGAAGGCCCGCCCTGGGAAAGGGGTCGGGACTTCCGGAGGCCCTGCAGGAACACCATCAAGAGATCGGATGTGCGGGGAGCGCGCAGCGGCTCCAGGCGCCAGAGGGCACGGCCAGCGATGAGCCCTGCGGCGCTGGGTCGGCAGGCGTGGCCTGCCGCCCGAGACGCGCGGATGCCCTGTCAGGAGCCACCCGCGCTGCCTGGGGATAGACGAAGGGGATAGGGGTGAAGATGAGGATCCTCCTCCTCCTCCTCCTCCTCCTCCTCCTCCTCCTCCTCCTCATCCTTGGAGAGTATGGTGACGGGAGGGGGCGGGAAGCGAGCAGGGCCCGGGAGAAGGGGATGAGGGGGGTGCGCGCAGGCTGGGTGGAGCGGTGGACGGGGGGGGGGCCAGGGGGGAGCTGCCAAAGGGAGCTGAGGTGGCGGGCGCGGGGAGGGGAAGGTTGCCGGATTTGGGGAACCATCGAGCTCGCGGAGCAGTGGGCGAGGGGAGGGATTTGCTGGTTGCGCAAGGGAGATGGGCAAGGGGGGAGGACGATAGATAACTGGGAGGGCATCGTCGCCAAGTCCGCGGGCAGGCCATGTGTGTGCACAGGTGTTGCCGATCAGTTCACCATGACATTCACGTGTTCAATGCAATTTGTTGATTCGCTGAGCAGTCTCGTGCGGGTGCAGACGGTGAGGCACAATTTTTCCCCATATTTAAGGAAGGGTTTATTGTTACTCCCCATATCCAAAGGATGGGGTTCTTGCTATTCTCCGACCGCACAAGACCACCCGTCGCTGATGATGACGAGTATGATGTGAGTATGATGGTGATGGTGAGTGATGGATGAGTATGATAATGATCATTATAATCATGATGATGCTGATGACGATGACGATGACGATGACGATGACGATGACGATGACGATGATGATGATGATGATGATGATGATGATGATGATGATGATGATGATGATGATGATGATGACGATGAACAGATGATGAGGATGTCTCGAGCGGCTTGCTGGTTTTAGCACTCCGACGGGGGGAGGCCGCCAGGGGTATTGCACGGCCTCCGTCCGCGCCCAAATGGTGGGGATGTCTCAGGCGGTTTGCCTGTTTTGGTCCACAACATCCTCCGCTTTCGGAGCAGATTTGGAGGATGTCTCGTGCGAGGCGCCTCCTAAGGGGGGGCCGCCAGGGGTATTGCACGGCCTCCGTTCGCGCCCAAATGGCGGGGATGTCTCAGGCGGTTTGCCTGTTTTGGTCCCCACCTCCTCCGCTTTCGGAGCAGATTCGGAGGATGTCTCGAGCGAGGCGCTCATGTTTCCCCCCAGGGGGGCCAGGTTTTGAGGATGTCTCGATCGGTTTGCCTGTTTTGGTGGCCAGACTCGTGGGCACATATTCTCCCCAGGATGCCACCGGAGGCTCCAGCAGGCTTCAGGAGGCCCCAGGAGGCCACATGAGGTCCCAGGAGGCATCAGGAGGCCACAGGAAGATTCCAGAGGCCACGGGATGTCCCAAGAGGTTCCAGGAGGCCCCAGGAAGCTCCAGGAGGCCTCAGGAAGCCACAGGAGGCCCCAGGAGGCCACGGGAAGCGCCAGGAGGCCCAGGCAACAGGAGGCCCCAGGAGCAGGAGCCCTCAGAAGGCAACAGGAGACCATGTGATTGACGTATGCTCCTACAGATTGGGCCTCACCTGGCGCACGAATCCTCAATGGTATACGTATGTTTCTATAGATTGACCTTTTCCTGGGTATACAATCCTAAATGTTTTACGTCTGTTCCTATGTGGTGGGCCTCCCCTGGGGCACGAGTCCTTAGTGTTTTACGTGTGCTCCTACAGACTGCCCTTCTCCTGTGGCTCAAATCCGCAATGTTTGATGTACGGCTGTTCCTATAGATCGGGCTTCTCCTTGGGCACGAATCCTCCCTGGGAGGTCCCAGGAGGCTCCATGAGGCTCCAGGAGGCTACGCGAGGCTCCAGGAGGCCTCAGGAAGCTACTCGAGGCCCCAGGAGGCCCCAAGAGGCTCCTGGAGGCCCCAGGAAGGCCCAGGAGGTTTCTGGAGGCCCCAGGAGGCCCCAAGCTCATGCGCAGAGACGCGCTCGTACTAACGAGACTAATTCACGCTCCAATCCGTTCGAAATTAGATTCATGACCAGACCGTCACAACTCAAGCCCGCTTAGATTCGAAAACTCTTGCGCCTAGGCTCTCACGGCGGACAGGTCCATGCGAATAGATGCACATATGGGGGGCTCTATGCAGTAGATATTTATCCGACCGCGCCAGACCACCTCTCCCTGATGATGACCATGGTATGGTGAGAGCATGATGTGAGTATGATGGTGATTGTGGGTGGTGGATGGGTATGACGATGATGTTACTGATACTGGTAATGATAATTATAATGATAATGATAATGATGATGCTGGTAATGATGATGATGGTGATGATGCTGATGACGATGATGATGATGGTGATGATGATGATGGTGATGGTGGTGATGATAACAATAATGATGATGATGCTGCTGCTGCTGATGATGATGATGATGATGACGATGATGATGATGATGATGATGATGACGATGAGCAGATGATGAAGATGTCTCGAGCGGCTTGCTGGTTTTAGCACTCCTAAGGGGGGGGGGGGGCGCCAGGGGTATTGCACGGCCTCCGTTCGACGCGCCCAAAGGTGGGGATGTCTCAACAACAACAAAAAAAAGACAAAAACATCATCTAAGTCTCAAGCAAAAAAACAGTCTCCAAAAAAACATCAAACGTCTCAAAAAAACAAAAAAAAAACCAAACAAAAAAAAATCAATCAACAAAATATAGTAACAAAAAACAGCAAAAAATCATACTCAAACAAACAAATCAACTCACAATGACTCAAAAACAAACAAATCAAAAAATAAAAAAAGCACAAAAAAACAAATCACAAAAAAAACACATCAAAAAAACTCACAAAAAAAAAAAAAACAAAAAAAGTCTCACAAAAAAAAAAAAAATCACAAAAACACAGACACAGTCTCAATTACAACAAACAAAAGAAAACAGTCTCAAATCACACACAAAAAAGGCGGTTTGCCTGTTTTAGTCCCCAGCATCCTCCGCTTTCGGAGCAGATTTGGAGGATGTCTCGTGCGAGGCGCCTCCTAAGGGGGGCCGCCAGGGGTATTGCACGGCCTCCGTTCGCGCCCAAATGGCGGGGATGTCTCAAGCGGTTTGCCTGTCTTGGTCCCCACCTCCTCCGCTTTCGGAGCAGATTTGGAGGATGTCTCGAGCGAGGCGCCCATGTTCGCCCCCTGGGGGGGGGGGGCAGGTGTTGAGGATGTCTCGATAGGTTTGCCTGTTTTGATGGCCAGACTCGTGGGCACCACATGAGGTCCCAGGAGGCATCAGGAGGCCACAGGAAGATTCCAGAGGCCACAGGATGTCCCAAGAGGCGCCAGGAGGCCCCATGAAGCTCCAGGAGGCCTCAGGAAGCCACAGGAGGCCCCATGAGGCCACGGGAAGCGCCAGGTCCCAGGCAACAGGAGGCCCCGAGAGGCCCCAGGAGCAGGAGGCCTCAGAAGGCAACAGGAGTGGCTCCAATCCCATGTGTTTTACGTATGCTCCTATAGATTGGGCCTCACCTGGAGCACGAATCCTTGATGTTATACGCATGTTTCTGTATATAGAAATATATGTATATATGTATATATATATATATATATATATATATATACATATGCTGTCCTTCCCCTGTGCATGCAATCCTAATTGTGTTACGTCTGTTCCCATATGTTGGGCCTCCCCTGGGGCACGAGTCCTTGGTGTTTTATGTGTGCTCCTGTGGCTCCAATCCGCAATGTTTGATGTACGCCTGTTCCTATAGATCGGGCGTCTCCTGGGGCACGAATCCTCCCTAGGAGGTCCCAGGAGGCTCCATGAGACTCCAGGAGGCTACGCGAGGCTCCAGGAGGCTTCAGGAGGCCACTCGAAGCCCCAAGAGGCACCAGGAGGCCCCAAGAGGCTCCAGGAGGCCCCAGGAAGGCTCAGGAGGTTTCTGGAGGCCCAAGGAGGTCCCAAGCTCATGCGCAGAGACGCGCTCGTACTATGGAGACTCATTCACGCTCCAATCCACTCGAAGTTAGATTCATGACCAGACCGTCACAACTCAAGCCCGCTTAGATTCGAAAACTCATGCGCCTAGAATCTCACGGCGGACAGGTCCATGCGAATAGATGCACATATGGGGGGCTCCACGCAATGAAGACTTTAGTCTTCTACAAACGCGGATCCCGATACAGGTGCCATCACTTAACCTGGACAATCTGGAGTATCTGAACACATATATCCACATCGGGAAGCATCACCCGATGGGAACTGTACGACTGGTACCGTTGACACGGAAGTCATGCAGACGGACTTGGTAGCTCATAGGAAGCAACTCAAAGGTGATCTTCTCAGGAACGATCACGGCCTATTTCGTATGAAGGACCATTAAATCGGCATCAGACCAGATTAAATCCAAAACCAACCTGGATTAAGCAGAATGGGGGCGGACTAAGCAGGGCTAGGCAAGAGCAGAACTGCTTTCGACCTAGGATCTGCCAGCACCGATGCTGAATTGAGCCTTCCAGGAGCTGCCACCGAGGCTCCCGACACGACACAAAATGGAAGGTGGGAGGGGGATGACAACTCATACCCCTGATGCTGGCTTGGTTTGAGCTTGGCCCCAGGAGTCGGAGAGCCAAACCACTATCAATGACAAGCCGCCGATGAGAACCCATCTGCCTGTTACTGATTGAGAAACGCCTGACCTTCGGACACAAAGACGGATGAGTAACCCGCTCACGAACTCACAATGGCAGGACTCGTTGATGTTCTTTCCCCTCGTAGGAGGGAGAGTCATGATAATGCCCAGGCAGGCCTCCAGACGGAACCACACAGCCCGAACCGGACAGGAGAAACACCATACAGCCAGAGAAAACCACGCGGGACGCTGAGACCCAATTTAACACAACATATGCGCCATCGCGAGAAGTCACGAATGAAGCCCTGACGCCATCGTCCAGCGAAAGCGCCCAGTGTGAAACAATTGCAACATCCGGATCTCAGGTGCGGCCCAGGCGGCTCCTAAGGCCCAGGGACAACCCACAGCAACCCCAGAGCGTTGACCAGAGGGCCCCGATGTGGCCCAGAGATTGCCTCGGGCACATGCGATGCGAGCCCATCCCCCAGCCGTGTGCCATGGCCTGGAGAGCTGCGCTCTCACTCTCTAAATTCCGCTCGCTGCACAAACATTGAAGAAGCCTGCTTGGGTATTCGAAGCTCATGCCCAGCCTTTCCCTCACCTTCTTCACTCCACCTCCTCTTCCTCCTTCTCCTCCTCCTCCTCATCTCCTCCTCATTCTCCTCCTCCTGGTGCTCCTGTTCTTGCCCCTCTCCCCTGCATTTTCCTCCGCAACATATGCATTTCTTGCTCATCCTCCACCTCTTCACCCTCTGGGGCATCCGAAAGCTTAGGACACCGTCACGAATCAATTTGGTTTGCTGTTGGGTCGCAGAAATGGCGAACGCCTCAGGGATGCAATTAGGCAGCAGCGTCAACGTGAAACTGGGTCAATGGGCGTGCGAGTGGTTGGGAGCGTGGGAGCAGGTGGTCATAGTCTTCTGCTCCTCGACAGTTCCGTCGCATCGCCCGCCCAGTCCCGCCCGGGAGAAGGTCCCGTGGGAGGGGCATGGCTTTCTTCTGCTCTGCCCCCTCCCTGCCGAGAGCTTGTTTGCCTCATCCGCTCGTGACCGCCCGCGCATCGACCTGGGAGGGACCCCTCCCGGGCCGCTCCTGCACTCGGAGAGCCAGTGCAGGATGCACTGGGCGTGCCAGCAGTCGTGGCCGCAGGGGAGCGCCTGGCGCCGCGCGGCGCAACGGCACCGCACTGGCCCCGCCAGCTCCTCCGGCCAGGAACTCCTGCGCAGCGCGCTGCGTCGGCGGCCCCGGCGACACGCTGCACCCTGCGAGCTGATGGCACGTGGCTCCGTTTTGTGGGGCGGAAGGCCGGGAAAAACTCGGGGTCGGGCGTTCACTAATGGGGGGGGGGGGCGGTAGATGGTGGGGTAAGAAAGATACACCTTTCGTACCCTTTCGGGGCCCCAGGGGGCTCGTTTAGGGCCCCTTTCGGGCCCCTTTCGTGCAACCCTCGACGCCCCCCCCGTTGATCGCCCCCCCATTGCCGCACGCCCGACGGGGCGGCGACGCTCGGGGGCCGGGGGGGCGGTTCGCGTGTCGCGCGGGCGTGTGGTGGGCCAGCACCGGCAGCGCGACACGCTGAGCCCAAGTTCCGGCCGCACGCCCCTGCCGCAGGCAGCAGGCATGATAGGGGGCACTCCCCCCTCCCTCCTTCCCCCCCCCCCTCTCCTTAGGCCTGGTGAGGCCTGGGTGGTTTGCGTCCGCAGGGCGGGAGTTCAGCCCCACACGCTAATGCTTTTGAGCTTTCAGTTTCCACACGTCCAGCCCCTCCAACTGTGCAGGGACCCAAGGCGGCGCTGTGGAGCCTGACGTTTCCCCTTGCCGGGTCGACCCGATCCCCCTCCCCTCCCCTTCGAGGAGAGAGGGCGGCGCGCCCGAGCCCAGGAGCAGCCGTCGCCGACCTCCGGCTCGCCGCAGCAGAAGAGGCACGCCGCCTCGCGCGCCTCGGGCGTCGCCTCGGGGGGGCCCCAGCAGAGAGGAAAACACTGGATGGTGGCAATTGGCGCCTTCATAAAGAACCGAACTCTATACACCGACGCGTCTTCCGGGCCTGCTCTGAAACTTGCAAACACTATAACGAACCCTGGTGTATACTGGATCCTGGTGTATACATTTTTCGTTGTTTCCCACGTCGTCCTCGACCCTCAAAAAGTGCTGGGTTTAAAAAGCAGCCCACCACTAGTAATGTATAGGTTCCAATATCCGACTTCAGATGTTCAGGTCAGACTTGTGGAAGGAATTTGGCACCCATCCCTAAGGCCGTCTTCGTTGACTGGGGGACCGTAAGGACCGGTGCCAACCTGCCTCCACAACTCCAACCTTAGTACGAGGAGGCGGCATATTCGGGATCACAGGGATCTGGAAGGGGGGCAGACGACGACGACGACGATCTCCTGACGTGTCCTCGCCCAGCGCAACAACTTCACATTTTTGCCACCGCAGCGCCACGGCAAACCCGCGGCGAACGAGTTGAAAAATGTGACCCGCTGATCCGGGCTTCTGAATGCAGGCAGGGGCGCACCAAAGACCCGCCCAGAAGCAGACCAAACAAACGGCTGGAAGAGGGCCCCAAGACAGCCCATGGGGGCCCCCATAGGGCCAAAGAGAGCCCCAGACGCACAAGGAGGACCCCTGGATGTGGAGGAGGAGAAGGAGGAGGAGGAGAAGGAGGAGTAGGAGGAGGAGGATGGAGGAGGAGGAAATCTTCCCCTGCCACTGTAAGACGTCTGCTGTGGGCTGTGCCGTGGACCGCCGCGCACAACGGGCCTCTTGGTCAGCCTTGCATGTGTGTTGTGGTTCTCCTCAAAACCTCTTTGGCCGTCTTGTCTGAAGGGCCCCTGGGACACACAACTAAATGGACACAAATAACCGGATTCCCCATATGTTCCTAGATTTTCTTGGTTCTGGTCTTCCCCCCCACTTCCAATATTTTCATACATGTTCCTGGGAATCGACGATAATTTGTGTCTGTGTTTTTTCTCCGCCTGATTGGCTACCTCACGGAGCCAGTTTGGACTGTCTTGGGCTCTCTTCGGCTGCATTGGGGGTGCCTCGGGCGTCTTTAGGGTCGAGGTATCCCTGGGGCCCTCTCGGGTCGTCTCTGCCGTCGGCCAACGCCGAATCTTCAACCTGTTTTCAAACTTGGCCCGCCATATCAATGGCCACAGCAAACGCACGGCAAGCTTCTAGAGTTGAGAACCCCAACGCCGACGCCTGAATGGGAGACTGAGGCGGAACGGGGGTCTGGAACGGGAACCCCAGCGTGGGAGCTGAAGCAAATGATGAAGGTACTAGGCAAGCAGTCACATGACCTCACAGACGCACCCTGGCTCTCAGCGGTGCAGCCTGAGTTGCCCGCGAAGTTCGTCTACCAGCACATTTGTCCGACATGCGTTTGTTAAGAAAAAGCCACCATCGCTTGACGAGCAAGGCTTCTCCCATTGCCCCCATGTTGTTGAACCACGCTCTGTTGCGGCCAAGGACCCAGCGTAATGCGCACTGAGACACGCCGGGGAAACATGCGCATCGATCCACATCCAAAAAACCGTCCGCAACACGGTCGGAAATGAGCCGTGCATCTGCACGGGGCAATATCAATCAACATTGAATCAGGACATCGAATCAAATCGGAATGTGCGTCGCATAGGGCAGCATCGGCGAACGAACGAACGAAGCAGCCATACGCCCAACGCGCGTGGGCAGACAGGTGCAACTAGGCAAGCGTACGAGCAAAGCGCCAAATGCGCATGAGAACGAACATTTACACAGCACCCACACTCGAGAGCCAGGCTTGAATGTATGTTAACTCGGAGCGTGCCTATACCATAAAATCTTGATTTTAGAGTGCTGGGGGCAGGCGGGGGTAGAGCGACAACCCCAATCAAAAGAGGCCCCACAGAATAACCGACGCAGCAGCGGGGGAGACAACCCCACAGGACAGCGAGCGGCTCGAGAGGAGGGGGCACCCTCCGAAAGTATCTGTTCGCAGCGGCGGGGCCCCGTGTGAGGCCCGAAACATAAAAGGCCGAGAGGTACCTGACCGTGCCTCGGCCCACGGTCGGGCCAAAAAGCCTCGCGGCGAAACCCCCGAGCTCATACAAGCCCAAGGGTGGGCAGGGTTGGGAGCCGAAACTTTGCGCCAAGAGAGGAGGGACAAGCACGAGAGAGACTGCGCTACTCCTCCTCCTAATTTGCAGTTGAGGCGGCTATCGGAACGTTTACAGGGGGTGTGTAAAAGTGTGTTAAAAAACGCGTATTTACACAGCACCCACACTCGAGAGCCAGGCTTGAATGTATATTAACTCGGAGCGTGCCTATACCATAAAATCTTGATTTTAGAGTGCTGGGGGCAGGCGGGGGTAGAGCGACAACCCTAATCAAAAGAGGCCCCACATAATATCCGACGCAGCAGCGGGAGAGACAACCCCACAGGACAGCGAGCGGCTCGAGAGGAGGGGGCACCCTCCGAAAGTATCTGTTCGCAGCGGCGGGGCCCCGTGTGAGGCCCGAAACATAAAAGGCCGAGAGGTACCTGACCGTGCCTCGGCCCACGGTCGGGCCAAAAAGCCTCGCGGCGAAACCCCCAGTCCCGTCATCACTAGACTGGCACTTGTGCCTTCACGCTTCCAGCCACAGCTAGACACGAGCGCGGCACACATTCGGGAGGGGGGGAAAGGGAGATAATTTGTGTCGCTCTCACCCACCAAAAAACCTGCTTTATATTTTCCCCATATCTATCAAATGTTCAAGGAAGACAAGTGGAGGACAGGGTGCACGCGCCCAAATCTCGAGGCTCCTGCATTCATATCAAAAGATATGGCCCCCGCAAAAGGCGGGGCCTGAAATGAGAGTGGTTGCCGCAAAAGGCTGGCCTGCTCATTGCCGTCTGGCCCTGCTACGGCCAGCAGTGGATGGGCGGCTGGTGGGCTCCGCGCCTCCGTCCGCCATACTCTCCAGCTGCGGCAGCACGACCTCGTCGTTCTTGGCTGCCCCGAGCTCGTGCACCATGTCCCGCGCCAGCGGGGCCAGCACAGCGTCGGAACGGTAGATGGCCTCTGAGATCTGCTGGGCGGGCCTGCGCCAGAAGGCCCTCCCCCGCTCAAGCTGTGCGGGGGTGAGCCGGCTCCGCTGCTCGATCAGCACGTGCACTTTCGTGTAGCGCTGAAGGGCCGACGTGGTCTGCCAGCGGCCCTTCCGGCGCGCCGCCTCCAGCGAGCCGCCAGCGGCGATATAGGCCGCTGCCCCCGCGTGCCTCAGCGAGTGCGGGGGGCCGAAGTCCGCCAGGCCCGCCCTGTCGAAGGCCTGCCTCCACGCCTTCCTGTACTTGTCCTGCGAGATCGGGAAGAGGAGGTCCCGTGGTGCCGCGCCCTTGCCAATCGCCCGTAGGATGGCCTTCGTCACCTGCCACGAGACCACGACGCCCTGGTTCGCTCCCGTCTTCACCTTCTCGCCCCGCTCTCTGCGGCCCAAGGTGAGCCCGACCTCCCCGTCGGGGCCCACCGCCACGTCCGTCTTCCTGAGGAGGCCCCAGTCCTGCTCCCTCAGCCAGCCGTCCAGCTGCAGCAGCACCGCGGCCCCCTCGTACAGCTGGCCGTGCTCAAAGAGGTCGTAGAGCACGCACCCCACAGCTTCGAACGGCACCGGCGCCCCCTCCTTCTGGAAGCCCATCCTAGACCAGGACTTCAGCGCCTTGGCCGCGACGGGGAGCCGATTGCGGTGATCCTCGAAGATGTGCATGAAACCATTGAACAACGCTGACGCCCTGCCGAAGGGCAACTGCATCACGTAGCACATGTCCGATATGTACCCGCCAAGCGCCGCATCCCTTTCCTCGTAAGTGGAGAAGGGGTGCCCGTGCCGCTTCACGTCCAGGAGGAAGGTCCTCACTTCCTTCTCGTAGATCTGATTCGTGGCGTCGTCCACTGCGTGCACCACGAGCCTCACATTGTGGTGCAGCTTGTCACTCGGGGCCTGCTCCCAGGCCCGAGCGCCCCTCTTGGCCAGAGGGGGGGGCTTTGCAGAGGTCGTAGCGGGGCCGTCCACCCCGCGCCGCGGCATCGCTTCGCACAGCGTCAGCCCGCTCATGGCCATCACAAATGCGAAGCTCCAGGCGGTCCTCGTCGGGCCCGATCTTGCAGCCGCTGAAGTAGCTCCTTCGGCACCCCGCGGCCCACGTGGCCCGCCACGGTGTCCTCCGCCGCGCCTATGCCTTGACCTCTCGAGGGGCCGTCTGCCAGGTTGATCTCGCTCGGCACCCACCTGAAGTACCCGCGGATCCTGCAAACCATCTGGATGATGCCGCCGATCCTCGCCAGGTGCAAGAGGTCCTTGGCAGACGAGCGCCCCTTCTTGAGAACGCCTAGGCTCGCCAACGAGTCGGTGAAGAACAGCACGCGGTGGTTCCAGCTCTGGGACGTGCGACTGAGGTGTCGGAGCACCGCCACCACCGTACGCAGCTCCAAGACATTGTTGTGCTCTGCGTGAGACCAACGTCCCTGAAACAGCACGTGCCACTTCTTCTCCAGCCAATGGCCCAGCAGAGGCAGGGCCGGCCCAGTCGCTCGCACGACGCGCCCGCGGTCGCCCTGCAGGCGAAGCCGGGCACCCGCTGGTATCGAGTCCCAGTGCGGCTCGAGCTCCTGCAGAGTGGACGCGTATGCCCTGCACAACTCCAGCGGGTAAGCACATGCCACCTGAGTCCACCGTAGTCCACCTGGTGATCGTCCTCGTAGTTCTCGGTGAGCACGGCCAGTCCGACTGCATCGGCTCGCGGGGCACAAGCACACCCGCTGTAGCGTCGCCATCTTCTTCACGTTGGTGATGAACGTAGTTGGCTTCCTCCATTCTTCGCCATACATGCAGTAATCCACCTCCACACGGAACACCCCCTCGAGATCCAAGAGCGCGGTCATTGGCGCGAACGCCCATATCATGCCGGTCCTGGGGTTCTCGAGGGTGAATCCAATGCCGAGGCGTAGGCAGATCTTGACCACCTCTACTGCTATCAAATAAAAAAGAAAAAAAAAAAAAAAAATAAAACAAAAAAGAAAGAAAAAAAAAAAATCAGAAAAAAGATGTAAAAACAAAGAACAAAAAAAAGAGAAAAAAAAAGAAAAAAAGAAAACAAAGAAAAGAAAAATCAAAAAAAAAAAAAAACAATACAAAGAAAAAAAAAAAAAAAAAAAAAAACAAAAAGAAACAGAAAAAAGAAAAAAAAAAAAAAAAAAAAGAAAAAAAAAAAAAAAAAAAAAAAAAAGATAAAAAATAAAAAAAAAATACAAAAAAAAAAAAAAAAAAAAAAGGAGGGAAACAAAAAGCCATGAAAAAAACATATAAAAAGAAAAAACAAAAAAAAAACAAAAAACAAAAGAAACAAAAAAAAGAACCAAAACTAAACAAAAGAAAAAAAAGATAACAAAAAGCAAAAGCCACAAACGTTCCTTTGTCTATCTTGGCCTGGTCCGTCTCCGTGCAGTCCGGCAGCCCCCACGGGTGATCGCTCGACCTCAGCGGCGGCTGCCTTGCTCTCGAAAACGTCGCGCACGGGGGGGCAACATGCACCCACCAGAACCAGCCAGTCCTCACTCTCCGTAACAACAGCTCCAAGTTCTCTGTGACCAGTACGTCGAACTCCGCGCCCCGCTGGACGTCCCAGGCCTCGCCCCACGAGTCGGTCATCTCCCTGATCGAATCCAGCAAGCGAGAGCTCCCAGCGAAGAGCTCCAACACCCCAGGTCGCCCCGTAGTGGGAGCGGCCGGGAGGTCCTCCTCCTCGCCGATCGCCTCCTGCGCTCGCTCGATCTCGGTGTAGCTCTGCTCGGTCAGGGGTCCCCAAGCTCCCCCATCTCCACGGGCAGCTTCTCGTCGGACGTCCTCCTCCGTGCAGTCGCAGGCCAGGGCACCGAAGCCTTCGTTGGACGCATCCGTCATGTATGCTCTCGGCCACCAGCCCATCTCCAGGTTCGACTCCATGTAGACCGAGAGGGGCGCGACGGCCCTCAACTCGCTCCTGACCTCCTCGGGCAAGCGGTGCGGCACAACACTCTCCTCCTCGTCGAACTCCCTCAGCCACCTGTAGGTTGCGTCCAGGATCGCAAACGAGGGGCGGAAGACCATCATGGTCCAGGTCCAGTGCCCGACCAGAGAAGCCACCGCCGAAGGTCTGAGAGCCACTTCCAACACCGCCGCCTCGGTAGCCAGCACGACCTGCTCCATCTTCTTCGGCTGGACCCTCAGCGTGTAGGGCCTCGTGGCGGCGATGCACAGGCCCAGGCCGTTCTCCATCCCTTCGCCCCAGGCCTCCTTGTGCACTGCGAGCCCCTTGCCGTTCAGAAGCTCCTTGATCATCTCCTTGTCCTCCATGATCTTCTGCTCGCCGTCCTCGCCCTCGAGGGTGAAGCCGATGTAGTCGTCGATGTACAACATCAGCAGGAACCTGATCGCCTCCTCCTCCGATTGGCCAAACGACGGGGTGGGCTTGCCGTAAGTCAAGCTGGGGGCCTTCAGGGACTCGAAGCTTGCCTCCAGGCAGCTGTGGGCCAAGAACACCGCCCACGCTGAGCCCATGACCAAACTCGAAGCCCCAATACCAACGTCCTCCTCGCGCGGCTTCGGCAAAGCCACACCCTGCTCCATCCCGTACTGGTACAGCTCCTGCGGCGAGACATCCTCCACCACAAAATACTCCGCCAAAATCGAACCCCAGTGCAACCGATAGAACCAGTCCGGTACGTCGCCCTGGAAGGAGAAGAGCCGCCGTCCACGCAGCACCGCCTCGTCCAGCTCTAGGAGCGCGAGGCCCGCGGGACTGCCCAAAGGCACCCACGGGGGATCCACGAAGAGCAGGTTGACTCTTCGGCAGTCCCAGATCAGCCGCGACTTCACAATGCCACCAGTCTTGGGGTCGAAGTCCTTCGCCACCGTGAACAGCCCGACATGTTCGCGTACCCTCGTCGCATATGTTATCATTCCAGCCTGCGCCATCCGCAGGGCAAGTGCCAAGCGCTCCTTCTTGCTCCGCCACGCCGGGTCCGAGTAGCTCTTTGTCGCCTCGTACTTCTCCCAGTGGACTTCCCCCGAGCCCTTGATCATCAGCTGGCCGGCCTCTGTGAGGTACCGCCCAGCGAGACTCGAGATCGCCGCCACCTCCAAACTCTGGGTCCCCGGCGCTGGAAGAGACACCTGCTCCGCTCTCAGAGGGCACAGGTCGCCCTTCCTCAACTGCGGTGAAGCCTTCGATGCCGTAGACGTCGTAGGCCTCGCTCCCTTTGCAAAATACTCTGTCGGGCTTCCTCCTGCCAAGCGGCTCAATGCCGCCCTGCCGTCGTTGATGGTCCCCCACTTCGCCCTCGCGGCGTGAAGGTCCCAGGCTTCCGTCACCAGTCTTTTCTGTAGCGGCGTACTCGCACTCCAGTCCGTCTGGCACGTCTGCTTGTCCGTCAGGGTCGATGGATGTATCCAACCATTCGAACAGCCCGTCGCCATACTCCTGATCGCCGCTATCGTCCTCGAAGTCCGCTGCCAGGTTGTCCTCAGCTCCTTCTCGGACAGGCTCGAACTCGACCTCCTCGACTGTAGTGGGAATGGGAGCCCAGGCAGACTCCTCAAGGGATCCCTCTCTCTCAAATCCTTCTCCCCAGTAGGCAACTGGGACCACCGAGCGACCTGCGCTCCGACGTACGGGAAAACCTGCTCGCCACAGAACGGCGCGAGGCCCCAAGTACAAGAAAGGCCTCGACGCTCCGACGCCGCCGTGGACGACCCCACAGCCGATCGTCAGGAAGCTCACCAGCCCGATGTAGCACCACCACCCGAAAGACGTGTCCAGCAAGAAGCTCGGCACGAAAGCGGCTCGCCGCCGCGGCCGGGGTAGAGGGGATTGACCCCTCAGGCCTTGGCCAGAGCACACCACGATAGCTCCGGCCGCAACCTATTCGTCCTCGCCGGCAGGCTGCCCCGAGCGCACCTCACCCCGGTGCTTGCTGAGGATCGCCCGCCGCCTGAGCTTCTCCAGGACCTCGTCATCGGCCCCCCTGTTCTCGCTGTTGGGGTCCCCGTCGAGGCGCAGGTACTCCTCCGCCAGGCTCCAGTCGACCTTGGAGCGCCACTTGCCGCCGTGCTGCGCCTTGGGCCTCAGCCAGTCGCTCTTGCACTGCACCCGCTCGTAGGCCTTCCAGATCGAGTACAGGCGCAGGCAGGTCACCTCCGCGGCCTGCGAGTTGATCAGCTCGTCGTACTGCCCCTGGCTCATCATCCTGTCAAGGACCAGGGCCAGCATGTTCAGCTCCTGCGCGATGCCCGCGCCCTGCAGCTCCTTGGAGCGGAGCCACTCCTGCGTCTCCACGCGTGCGCTCCGTCCGCCCTTGTAGAGCCTCGCCAGCACTGTCGGCGCCACGCGGGCCCTGATCCCCCCCACGGGGGAGCCCGCCACGCGGCGATACTTCTCCAAAGTCGCCAGCAAGCTCTCCTTTGGGTTCTTCGACTCCTCCTTCAGCTGCACGATCTGGTCCTTCAGGGGGTCCTCGAGCTCGCCCAGATCTCCAACCTTCTCCCAGGACGCTGCACTCGAGCTCGGCGTGGGCGACCCTGCCTGCGCTCGGGTGCTCAAGCCCGAGTCCCGCTGCACCAGCTCCTCGTGCTCCGTCAGCTTCTTGATGAACGCATCCACCTCGGCCGAGCTAGGGTCGTCTCCTCTGGTCGGCGGCGGCCCCGCGGGGGGCGGGGGAGGCGGGCCTGGCTCCGACCCCAGAGCCCCACTGCCGCAGGCAGGTCCTGCCCCCGCTCCGCCCCCGACATCCAGCCTCGACTTCAGCATACCCACAGCGTCGGCCAGGTCAGACTGACCGCGAGCCAACTCCGCGAACCGGGTCTTGGTGTCCCGCTCGTCGCCACTCACGTCACTCACGTCATCACCAGCGTGCACCGACCCGCCGTCCGAGTCCGAGCCCGAGTCGCTGTCCGAGTCGACCTCCTTTCGGCACGAGCATCCGTGTGTCCAGATCCCGTAGATCACGATGAGAACGCAGCCCAGGTAGGCCGCGCACAGCTCGAGGTCGCCCGATTCGTACAGCTCCCCCAGGAACTCGCGGAAGTTGTCCAGGTCCTCGATCGCCTGCATCCCCGCTGAGACGGTGTGGTACCCTGCGGCGAAGAAGGACCCGAGATGCAGCCAACGCCACAACCTCCAGCCCACAAAGAACACCGCTGCAGCACCACCCCACGTCTTGTGGGCCCACGCCGTCACCACGGTGGTCACGAGGCCCTTGCCGAACCAGGACGCCACCTTGGCCTTCGAGCTCGCCTTCTTGCCCTTCGTCAGGTTGGCCTCGGCACTCTCAGCACCAGCCTGGCCCAGCTCATGTCGCACAATGAGCCGCTCCGCGGCGATGATCGCCTGCTCCCTCTCCTTCTCATTCAGCCCTGGGTGCTCGGTCCAGGTCACTCCCTTCTTCGGGCGCGGCAGCATCCTCGCCTTGTCCCGAAGGTTGATGATCTGCACCCGCTTCGCGGGGTCGATCGCGGTCCAAACCAACGAGGTCCCTGGACCGACCCGACTGACCAGCAGCATCACCACCCCCGTGTTCCTCCCCTGCGTCTGGACGTAGACGCGGTTCCACCTGCTCCACGGCGCCATGAAACCCGCTGGTGGCCCCCGCCGCTCGGCGCCTCCTCCGAGGTCGAGGGGCTCGATGAGGATCTCCTCGGCCTCCTGCTGGCGCCCGCCGAAGACCTCCAGCAGCCCGTCCAGCTCGCAGAGGGCGAGCGCGGTCACCAGCAGCCAGCCGGGGCGCCCGATGGCCGGCGTCGTGGCGGCGCCCGAGCCTGGCGGGCTCGGGGCGAGCTGGGGCTGGAAGCTACCCCTCTCTGAAGGCTCGAGTGCGGGCCTCGCCCGCGAAACCCACGCCTCGAGCCGAAACTTTGCGCCAGGAGAGGAGGGACAAGCACGAGAGAGACTGCGCTACTCCTCCTCCTAATTTTGCAGTTGAGGCGGCTATCTGAACGTTTACAGGGGGTGTGTAAAAGTGTGTTAAAAAACGCGTAGTTGCCCACCGAAGGCCCCAGTGGGGGTGCCCGCATGCGGTTCCCCCACCCAGGGCAGCGTTTCGTGGCCCCATAGGGAGCTCCACCGAAGGCCCCAGTGGGGGTGCCCGCATGCGGTTCCCCCACCCGAAGCAACGTTTCGAGGCACCATAGGGAGCTCCACCGAAACCCCCAGTGCCTGCATGCCCCAACCAGGGCAACGTTTCGCAGCCCTATAGGGAGCTCCACCGAATGCACCAGTGGGGGTGCCCGCATGCGGTTCCCCCACCCAGGGCAGCGTTTCGTAGCCCCATAGGGAGATCCACCGAAAGCCCCAGTGGGGGTGCCCGCATGCGGTTCCCCCACCCAGGGCAGCGTTTCGTAGCCCCATATCATAGGGAGCTCCACCGAAGGCCCCAGTGGGGGTGCCCGCACGCGGTTCCCCCGCCCAGGGCAGCGTTTCGTGGCACCATAGGGAGCTCCATCGAAGGCCCCAGAGTGGGGGTGCCCGCGTGCGGTTCCCCCGCCCAGGGCAGCGTCTCGTAGCCCCATAGGGAGCTCCACCGAAAGCCCCAGTGGGGGTGCCCGCACGCGGTTCCCTCACCCACCCACGAGGCATCCAAGACGCCCACGATAGCCTCCAAGACGGTCCTGGAGCACACCCGAGAGGGCTCGGGTGTTGGCCCAGAGAGGCACCCAAGACGTCAGACAGGCCAGGAGCCCACCAAGACGGCACAAGATGGCTCCAATATGGCCCAATACGGCCCAAGAGGCCCCCAAGAGGTCGCCAAGACGACCCAAGGGGCCCCAAGAGGGCCTCCAGGAAGGCCCGAAGAGGCCACAGTCATTGGTTATCCTTAGGTTTTTTTGCTGCATGATCTTGGCATTTGCTTCTTTTTGGCCCTCCGACGGCCCGATGCGGGCCAAGAGCCCCCAAAGATCGCTCTGAGATCACCCAAGAGGCCTCCAAGATGGCCCCAGAACGGCCCAAGAGGCTCGCACGACGGACACAAGGGGGCTCTAAGACGGCCAAAGAGGCCTCCGAGACGCCCGCGATGGCCTGCAAGACGGCCCTGGAGCATCACAAGAGGGCTCCAAGTCGGCCCAGAGAGGCCCCCAAAGACGGCTTCCGACGGCCTCCTCCTCCTCCTCCTCCTCCTCCTCCTTCTCCGGATCTTCCCCGCCGTCCTCCCCCGAGTGTTTCCCGGAAGGTTTCCGCAACGGCAGGGAGAAGACCCAGTCCGATAGCTTGGGCCCCCTTCGCTGCTGCTTCTGCGCTCCTCGTGGCAGCACGCCGCCTGCACTCCGCTTCCCGCCGTGCCTTCCGATGCTCTCCCTTCTTCGAGGAGGAGGAGGAGGACGAGGAAGAGGAGGAGGAGGAGGAGGAGGAGGAGGAGGAGGAGGAGGAGGAGGAGGAGGAGGAGGAGGCAGGGAGCTCTTGCCACAATGCTCGACCACAGGGGCCATTCCAAAAGGCAAGGGGCGACGGTGATTCGCCGCAGGCGTCTTTCGAGCCGCCGCCCCTAGTGCTTGCCACATGGGGTGCACGGCGTGTTAAATCTCAAGTCCCACCAGCCCTTTGGGCGTGAGTGGTTTAGGGAGCTCTCTCTGTTCTCAACCCCCCTTCTTCCCCTTCGGGGAGGGGTTTACCCCTCCCCCTACCCCCTCCCCCTGGACCTGGAGAGGGGGTTTCGCGGGTGGTTGGAGGGGTCTTTTTCGACTCCTGGGAGTAGTTTTAAAGTATTGTGCGAAACCAAATTCCCAAAAGACCCAACGGCCACCCGGAAAAAAGCGTAAAGACCCGAGCGTGCACAACAAATCGTCGCAAGACGGCCAAGGTGGCCGCCGAGATGCCTCCAAGACGGTATCAATATTTCTCCAAGACGGGCCGAGATGCCCCAAAGATGGCCTCAAGATCGCCCAACACGGTCCAAGAGGCCTCCCAGACGGCCCGAGAGGCTTCCAATAGGACCTCCAGGAAAGTCCGAAGAAACCAACATCATTGATTTCCGCAATTTTTCAATAGATTTTGGGCATTGCTCATTTTCGGCTTTCCGACGGAACAAGACGGCCCCCGAGGCCACCAATATGGCCCCAACAGCGCCCAAGAGGCCTCCGAGATGGCCCCCAGGCGGCCCCCAAGAGGGCCCCACGACGGCCCAGGAGGCTCCCAAGACGCCCAAGATGGTTTCCAACACGTCCCTCAAGTGCCCCAAGAGGGCCCAAAGTCAGTCCAGAGAGGCCCGCACCACCAGGAACGCCCCCGGATGGCCAACGAGCCTCCCATGGAGGCTCCAACGGCCCGCAATAGGCCCAAGGAAACCACCAGGAGGCCTCGAAGAGCCTCCCTGGAAGCTCCCAGGCGGCCACAAGAGTGCCGCAAGTGGCTCCCAGGAGGCTTCCTCCTCCTCCTCGTCCTCCTCCTCCTCCTTTTTCCTCCCTCTCCTCCTTTTCTTTCCCCCCCCGCGTGTTCTCCGAAGGGTTTCCACAACGGCTGGGGTTTCTCCGATCCCGCTGGCGACCAGAAGGACCCACACATTGGAGATAAACCGCACCACTCGCCTCCAAGACGGCGAAGATGGTTCCAAGATGGCCTCTAAGATGCCTCCAAGACGGCCAAGATGGTCCCAAGAGAGCCAAATATTGCCCCAATACGCCTCCACGACGTACATAAAACGACCCAAGATGCCCTCTAGACTGTCCAAGAGGTCCCCAAAACGGCCCAGGGGGCTCAAGAGGACCTCCAGGAGGCCAGACATTTCCCCCCCACATCCAAAGTGGGGTTCTTCTTGTCTCTGCGCTCCCCCGGGCAGGATCTCCTCCTCCCCCCCCATATCCCTCGACACTCACACGCTCACGCAATCATGCACTCACGCAATGTTCAACATCATCATCAACATCATCATCCCCACCATCATCCACACCCACTAACCCACATCCACCCGTCACTCATTCATTCACTCATCATCACGCCATTCTCACCATCATCATCGTCATTACTATCGCCATCATTGTCATCATCAACATCATCACATCATCACATCGCACATACACATCATCATCATCATCATCATCATCATCATCATCATCATCGTCATCATCGTCATCATCATCATCGTCATCATCATCATCATCATCATCACCACCATCATCACCATCAACGACGATACCGTCATCGTATCATGCTCGTTGGTCGTCACCCTCATCATCGTCAGTCATCACCATCCCATCATGAAGAAGTCTCGGGCGGGATCCTTGTTTGTGAATGAATTGCGAAGAAGTCTCGGGCGGGACATGGGGTTCGCAACTCATGTTGCGAATCCCAACGGGTCATCGGGATTCTGAAGCAGCCGTCACATGTGGCCTCCACGAGCGTGAGTACGGAGGACGTCTCGAACGGGAACCTCGTCAGTGAATGAGCTGTGAAGGGATCTCCACTGGGAATCTTCTCCCTCTTGGAACCGCAGTTCATGGTACGAATCCGCACGGGTCATTTGGATTTCGTAACTCTCGCCGCTTCTGGCCTCCCTAAGCTTGAATATGAAGAAAGTTTCGGGCGGGAGCCTCGTCTGTGAGTGAATGGCGAAGAAGTCAGCGGCGGGAGCCCCCTCCCTATGGGGCCCGCAGCTCATGTTACTAATCCGAACGGGTCATCGGGATCCTGTAGCTGTCGTCACGTTTGGGCTCCTGAGGTTTGAATCTGCAGGATGTCTCGAACGGGAGTCTGTCATCTATGTGTGAATGACAAGGTCCGGCGGCCGCCCACGCGAGAGTTCTTGGAGAGCGGGCCGCCAACTTCTCTGCGGAACGCGCTCAGGGAGTTCGACAAGAGAGCGGAGACCTCCAGGGCTGAGGTGGAGCAGCTCGCGGTATAACTGGGGTTCGCGCTGCCTCTCGCCTGAGCGCAGCCGCGACTAGCTCGAACATTGCGGGGTTGTCCAATCGGTTTTCTCCCGCGCCTCAGCGGCTCGCGGGGTTGTCCCAACGGCCTGACCCACGGGGTTGTCCCAGCGGCGTTGCGATCTGGCCGTCGTAGAACGCGCCCGTGCCAGCCGTGGCGGCAACGGCAAAGAAACCGACTTGAATGCACGTGCCAGAGCGGCGGGGGAAGAAGTGGATGGGGGAGAGGAGGCAGGAAGACAAGGGATAGGCAGAGCAGGGGGGCGGGAAGATGCCCTCCGCCAGGGCGATTTAGGAAAAGGGCCATGAGGAGACTGGAAAAGAGCAATTGTTATTGTTGTTAGGTTTTCGCTTTTGTTTCTCTGTTTTAAGCGTTCTCGCCTCTTCGGGCTTCTGGCGCTCGAAGACGGCTCCATAGGCCCCAGAGATCGCAACAAGACGTGCCAAGCGACCCCCAAGAAACCCGCAAGACGGCCCAAGAGGGTCCAAGAAACTGCCAAGACGGCCTCAAGACGGTTTCATAGACCTCCAAGACGGCCTTGAAGTCTTGAAAGCGTCCACGGAAGGACCACTGCCCAGAGAGGGCCACAAGACAGCCTCCACAAGCCAAGAGGTCTCTTCGAGACCCCCAGGGCCCCCAAGGGGCCCCCAAGAAGATCCAGGAGACCCCCAAGAGGCCCCCCAGACGCCCCCAAGAGGCTCCCAGGAATCCCCCAGGATGCCCTCAAGAGGCCTGCTCATCGTCCTCCTTCTCCTACTCGTCCTCCTTTTCCTCCCTCTCCTCATCTTCCTCTTTCTCCCACACGTGTTCCCCGACGGACTTCCACAACGGCTATAAGAGCACATAGTCCGACAGCTGGGCCGAACTCTGGCCCCAACGTTCGGCCACACAAGCGCTTCCAGAAGGCAAGGGGCTGCGGTGATTCGCCATAGGCATCTTCGATACGGGTCCTGGCCTAGCTGCAGCACGCAGACGCGAGGGGACCGCGCGGCGGGCGCGGGCAACGGTGGCCTCTGAGCTAAGATCTCGCACACTATCTCCTCAGACTTGGCCAGCCGCGCGAAGCCGCGCATATTCCGGAGGCCCGACTCGTGCTCGCCCTGGGACTTGGCGGCGCACGCGTCCTCTGGCACTGTGACCAGGAAACCGAGGTCTGCGGCGTCCCTCACCGCGGACTCCACGCACTGGTTGGTCAACTGGCCGCAGACGATCAAATACCGCGAGCCCAAGTTCCGCAGCACGTAGGCAATGTTCGTGGAGCAAAAAACAGAGCAGGAGGTCTTGGGCAACACGATCTCGTCGGCCGCTGGCGCCACCTCCGGGAGCACCCTGGCGTCAGGATGGCCCCTCGGCACGAGCAGGGGCCCGGACAGCTTGTAGTCCAGTGATGCGTCGCGGCCGTCCAGGGTGAGGGCCTCGATGACGGTGTAGACCACCTCTACCCCCGCCGAGCGCGCCGCGCCCAGAAGCGCCGCAATGCCGGGGATCATCACGTCCCGCACGCGGTCGAAGAAATACGGCATGTCTTCCCGCCTCGTGCCCTCGTGGCACCCCCTTTCGGGGCGGCTGCAGTACTCCTGCACGTCCACCACCAGCAAAGCGGTCTCCGCCGCCACGCAGGGCACGTTGCGCGTTGAGCCCTTCGGGACTCGCTTCGGGTGGCCGAACACATATGCCATGGCGAGCGACCGCGCTGGCGGACCCAGTGCGGGCAGCTGGCGGCGTGTCGCCCCACCTGGGCACCGATGACTTGGGAGGGGGGACGGTGAAAAGGAGGGAGGACCAGCCGAGGAGAAAGAGAAGAGAGGAGGATGGGGGGGAGGCAGTGGAAGCCAAGTAGGGATTTGGCAGTCGTAGAAATAGTGCGAGTGGCAAAAAGAAGACAAATTACCCCAGTGCGACCCTACCTAGGAGTTGGAGCCCCTAGGAAAGCAGCACTAGTAGTAACGGTAAACGCCGTCCTCCTCCTTCTCCTCATCGTCGTAGTTGCCTTTGCTTTTGCTTGTTTTTGCTTTTGCTTTGCCTTCGCACACACACACACGCATGTTTTTGCATTCGCTCACCGGGTGAACTCTTTGATCGTCCTGTTGCACATTGCTTTTGCTTTGCCTTTGCTTTGCTTTTGCTTTTGCTTTGCTTTGCTTTGCGTTGCTTGTGCTTCGCTTTGATGTCGCTGCTGTTGCTTTGCCTTTGCTTTGCTGCTATGCCATGCTATGCTCTGCTATGCTATGCTATGCTATGCTATGCTGCGCTGTGCTATGCTGTGCTGTGCTGTGCTGTGCTGCGCTATGCTATGCTATGCTATGCTATGCTATGCTATGCTATGCTATGCTGCGCTGTGCTATGCTATGCTGGGCTATGCTATGATATGCTGTGCTGCGCTATGCTATGCTACGCTATGCTATGCTATGCTGTGCTCTGCTAAAGCTCAGCGAAGCTAAGATGAAGGTACGCTAAGCTGTTATAAACCTGAGCTAATATGAAGTTAAGCTGAGATAAGATGAAATAAGCTAAGCTAAGATGAGATAAGCAACGCTAAGCTAAGGGGACGTAACTGGGGGAACCGCGGGGCGGATCCTGGGGGAACCGCCTGGGGCGGGGACCACTGCCAGGCCCCTTAAGCTTACAGGGTAAGAACCCTTCTAGGCAGAGCCTAGGTAGGGAACATGTAGGATGCCACATGTCTGGCCCTCTCCCTCGGCTCCCTGGCATCCGACGTCGTGGAAATCACATGCGTCGTGAACGACTTCCACCCAGGCGACAGACCACACCAAACCAAACATTTTAACCAACGCGAGAACAAAAAAAGGCTGCACTGTGCATGCGAGGGGCCATACGAGAGAATCAACTGGACATAATGCAGGGTAACATACGGGAAGACATGCGGGATAACGCATGTGATAACATACGGGAACAAACGCGGGAAACCATACGGGAAACCATACATTGCAATATACTGGAACACATGCGATAACCCATACGGAAGAAAACATGGGATCACATACGCGAGAACAGGCGGAAACATAACAAAGGTAACCACACGGGAACGCATGCGGGATACCATACGGAAGGGCATGCGGGACATCATTCGCGAGAATGTACGTGAAACCATGCGGCAAAGAATGCGGAGATCACACGGGATACTTTTCAGGAGAGCACAAGGGAAAACATACGGGAGAGACCCAAAGCCACTGATTCTGGTCCCGATCCGCGCACACGGGGCATTGGGGGCAGTACATCAACAAACGATCCTTTGTACTTACCCTGGCGACGTACCCAACCCCTGCGCAACACGGGGCATGAGTAGCTTGGGAGACGTTATACGGAGGTGATGACGTGACATGGGCGCATATACTCCTGCAAGCGGCACTCGTGAGGCTCGCAGCCCCCCAAGGATTACAATGTCCCGCTCAGATCTGCCTGGTGCCTCGCCCCGCTGGACCCACCAGCAGCCCTCGACAATGGCGACAATTTCGCAGATCGCACCCCCCAATGACGGCGAGGTCCCGCTCAGATCCGCGCGGTGCCTCACTCTGCAGGACCCACCAGCAACCCTCGAAAATGGCGACAATTTCGCAGATCGCAGCCCCCCAAGGACGGCGAGGTCCCGCTCAGGCCCGCGCGGTGCCTCATTCCGCAGGAACCACCAGCAGCCCTCGAAAATGGCGACATGTCGCGTATGCGGCGACGGTTTCGCAGATCGCAACCCTCCAAGGACGGCGAGGTCCCGCTCAGGTCCGCGCGGTGCATCACTCCGCAGGGCCCACCAGCAACCCTCGAAAATGGCGACGGTTTCGCAGATCGCAGCCCCCCAGGGACGGCGAGGTCCTGCTCAGGCCCGCGCGGTGCCTCACCCCGCAGGAAACACCAACAACCCTCGAAAGTGGCGACGTTTTCGCAGACCGCAGCCCCCCAGGGACGGCGAGGTCCTGCTCAGGCCCGCGCGGTGCCTCACCCCGCAGGACCCACCAACAACCCTCGAAAATGGCGACAGCTTCGCAGATCGCAGCCCCCCCGCGGGCGGCAGGTCCGCGCGGTGCCTCACACCGCAGGGCTCACGGTGGGTCCGACCCACCAGCGGCCCTCGAACGTGGCGACAGATTCGCAGATCGCACCCCCCAGGCACGGCGAGGTCCCGCTCAGGTCCGCGCGGTGCTTCGCCCCGCAAGGCCCACCAGCACCCATCGAAAATGGCGACCGTTTCGCAGATCGCAGCACCCCCAGGGATGGCGAGGCCCCATCGAAAATGGCGACAGTTTCGCAGATCGCAGCCCCCCAGGGGTGGCGAGGTCTAATTTGGCCCCGCGCGTGGCGTCACTGTGCTGGGCCCCCCAGCAGGCCTCGAAAGTGGCGACCGTTTCGCAGATCGCAGCCCCCAGGGATGGCGAGGTCGAGTTTGGGTCCGCGCGTGGCGTCGCTGTGCTGGGCGTTCCCCCCCAGCAAGCCTCGAAAGTGGCGACAGTTTCGCAGATCGCAGCCCCCCAGGGATGGCGAAGTCGAATTTGGATCCGCGCGTGGCGTCACTGTGCTGGGCCCCCCAGCAGGCCTCGAAAGTGGCGACACTTTCGCAAATCGCAGCCCCCCCAGGGATGGCGAGGTCTAATTTGGATCTGCGTGTGGCGTCACTGTGCTGGACCCACCAGCAGGCCTCGAACGTGGCGACTGTTTCGCAGATCGCAGCCCCCCAGGGATGGCGAGGTCCCGCTCAGGTCCGCGCCTGGCGTCACTGTGCTGGGCCCCCCAGCAGGCCTCAAAAATGGCGACAGTTTCACAGATCGCAGCCCCCCAAGGATGGCGAGGTCTAATTTGGGTCCACGCGTGGCGTCACTGTGCTGGGCCCCCCAACAGGCCTCGAAAATGGCGACGGTTTCACAGATCGCAGCCCCCCAGGGATGGCGAGGTCTAATTTGGGCCCGCGCGTGGCGTCACTGTGCTGGGCCCCCCCAGCAGGCCTCGAAAGTGGCGACAGTTTCACAGATCGCAGCTCCCCAGGGACGGCGAGGTCTAATTTGGGTCCGCGCGTGGCGTCACTGTGCTGGGCCCCCCAGCAGGCCTCGAAAGTGGCGAAAGTTTCATAGATCGCAGCCCCCCAGGGATGGCGAGGTCTAATTTGGGTCAGCGCGTGGCGTCACTGTGCTGGCCCCCCCAGCAGGCCTCGAAAGTGCTGACAGTTTCACAGATCGCAGCCCCCCAGGGATGGCGAGGTCTAATTTGAGTCTGCCCGTGGCGTCACTGTGCTGGGCCCCCCAGCAGGCCTCGAAAGTGGCGACAGTTTCGCAGATCGCAGCCCCCCAGGGATGGCGAAGTCGAATTTGGATCCGCGCGTGGCGTCACTGTGCTGGGCCCCCCAGCAGGCCTCGAAAACGGCGACAGTTTCACAGATCGCACTGTGCTGGGCCCACCAGCAGGCCTCCAAAGTGGCGACAGTTTCACAGATCGCAGCCCCCCAAGGATGGCGAGGTCTAATTTGAATTTGTTTGTGGCGTCAGTGTGCTGGGCCCACGAGCAGGCTTCGAAAGTGGCGACGGTTTCACAGATCGCAGCCCCCCAGGGATGGCGAGGTCTAATTTGAGTCTGCCTGTGGCGTCACTGTGCTGGGCCCCCCAGCAGGCCTCGAAAGTGGCGACAGTTTCACAGATCGCAGCCCCCTAGGGATGGCGAGGTCTAATTTGGGTCCGCGCGTGGCGTCACTGTGCTGGGCCCCCAGCAGGCCTCGAAAGTGGCGACAGTTTCACATATCGCAGCCCCCCCGCAGGCAAGACAGGAGGAGGCAAGAGAGAGAGGCGGGACGGGAAGAAGGGAGTGGAGACCACACTGCTCTATTCAAAACGAATACCCAACCAAGGAGGGTTGGGGACATGCTCGATTGCGTTGCCGTCCCTGCTGGTGGCGCGACATCCTTTGCTTCTTCATCTTCAATGGCGTCCTCTGGGGTCGGCGTCCCGTGCGGCCAGTCCTCGTTGTCTTGGGGCGCCGTCGCTAGCCCGATAGCGCAGACCCTAAAGGCTGCGTAGGTCTCAGCTGCCACGCTCGCCGCCTTTTGTACCGAGAAGTTCTTCCCTAGCACCAGCCACTTCGCCAGGTCGAGGAAGGCCGCTGACTCGTCCAGCGTCACGCAGGTCTTCCCAAAACGCAGCACCTTTGCGAATTGCTGCTGGAGCTTGGACACGATCGCGCGATGCGTCCTCGCGTAAGTGTCCACGCCCTCCAACGACCACCCGCCCATGTAGTCGCGCTCGCTCGTCGGGGACCCCATCGCCGCCATGGTGAAGTGGATCGTCTCCCGCCCCGAATGCTCTGTCAAGAAGCTCGCGACCTCCTCGGAGATGAGGAGCTCGACGTCGTCGCCGGTGCATGCCGCCGCCTTCAGCATCCTTCGGGGCACCTCCTGCCCCGCGTCGTCGCATCTCGGCGGGTGTAAAAGTCCGCGATTTCCTTCCACAGATTGGAGCCCGTCTGAATCCATGCTGGGTCCAGCAAGTATCACTCGCGTGATACCACGATCGGCAGCTCTGGCATCTTACGCCATGCTCCGTTAGTCTTCGTGCGTCCCAGCGTGTCCGTCAGCCCCCCGTCGCGAAGGCGAGGCGTTGCGGCGGGAACCAGCTGTGGTCGTAGTAGCGCAGCACCGCGGAACCACGCTTCCCCGCGGAAGTACGGCGCAAGGTATTCTTGCATGACCAGCCGCTCCAAAGCCCCCATGAACGCACTAGGAAATCGCGCCGCCTTCGTCGTCGGCCCCTTGCCCACGCCGAAGCTTATCCCAACGTTCGCGACGACACCTGGCACCCGCTCCGTTCACACCGTGGCGCGCATCGTCTGGT